CCCAGGCGGCCACCGGCTACATCATCGACCCCGTGAGCAACAAGCTGTTCTCCGTCGACGAGGCGGTGAAGGCCGAGGTGGTGGGGCCAGAGTTCCACGAGAAGCTGCTGTCGGCAGAGAAGGCAGTGACTGGCTACAAGGATCCCTACACAGGCCAGACCGTTTCCCTTTACCAAGCGCTCAAGAAGGGCCTCATCCCCAGCGACACCGGGGTCCGTCTGCTGGACGTCCAGCTGGCCACTGGAGGCATCGTCGATCCCGTGAACAGCCACCGGCTCCCACTGGAGGTGGCCTACAAGCGGGGCTACTTGGATGCCGAGATGCACAAGGCTCTGTCCGACCTCCGTGATGACGCCAAGGCTTTCTATTGCCCCAACACCCAAGAGCACCTCAGCTACATCCAGCTGCAGAAGAACTGCCACCGTGACAAGCAGACGGGCTTCTACCTGCTGCCCCTGTCGGACGAAGCCATCCAGTCCCAGCAGGAGGAGGTCTACACGGACAGCCAGGCCAAGGAGTGCTTTGACAAGACCACCATAGAGGTTCCAGTGGGCAGCATGAAGGGCAGGACGATGACCATCTGGGAGCTGATCCACTCTGAGTACTTCACGGAGGAACACCGGCGGGAGCTGCTCCGACAGTACAAGACTGGCAAGGTGACCATCGAGAAGATCATCAAGATCGTGATCACCATCATCGAGGAGGCAGAGACCAAGAAGCAGGAGAAGCTGACGTTCAGTGGTCTCCGGGCACCGGTACCTGCCAGCGAGCTGGTGGAGTCCCGCATCATCAGCAAAGCCCAGTACGAGCAGCTGAAGGAAGGCAAGAAATCGGTGAAGGACCTCTCTGAGACAGACACGGTGAGGAGATTCCTGCATGGCAGCGACTGTATTGCCGGTGTTTACGTGGAGGCGACCAAGGAGAAGCTGAACATCTACGAGGCCATGAAGAGGAACCTGCTGATGCCCAGCACTGCTGTGGTCCTCCTGGAGGCCCAGGCAGCGACTGGGTTCTTGATCGACCCTGTGAAGAACCGGAAACTGTACGTCAACGAGGCCGTGAAGGCTGGTGTTGTGGGGCCTGAACTGCACGAGAAGCTCCTCTCAGCTGAGAAGGCCGTCACTGGCTACAAGGACCCCTACTCGGGCAACACCATCTCCCTATTCCAGGCCATGAAGAAAGGACTTATCGTCAAGGAGCACGGCATCCGCCTGCTCGAGGCCCAGATCGCCACCGGCGGCATCATCGACCCCGTCCACAGCCACCGCCTCCCCGTGGAGGTGGCCTACCAGCGCGGCTACTTGGACGAGGAGATGAACCGGACCCTCTCTGACCCCACCGACGACACCAAGGGCTTCTTCGACCCCAACACCCGTGAGAACCTCACCTACCTGCAGCTGAAGGAGAGGTGCATTGAGGATCCTGAGACGGGCCTGTACCTGCTGCCTCTGCGGGAGCCCGAGAAGCCTACAGTGGTGGAGACCACCCAGGTGTACACAGAGGCCGAGACGCGGAAGGTGTTCGAGGAAACGCAGGTGGACATCCCCGTCGGCAGCAGGGCGGGCTCCACCATGTCGCTGTGGGAGATCATGCACTCGGACCTGCTGCCCGAGGAGCAGCGGAAGCATCTCATGGAAGAGTTCCAGTCAGGCCGTGTGTCCAAGGAACGCATGATCATCATCATCATTGAGATCATCGAGAAGACTGAGATCATCAGGCAGCAGAATCTCACATCCTATGACTACGTCCGGCGCCGCATCTCAGCTGAGGACCTCTACGAGGCCAAGATCATCTCTCAAGACATCTATAACCTGCTGAAGCAGGGCTCCAAAACCTTCCGGGAGCTTCTGGACGTGGAGACTGTCTGGAAGTACCTCTATGGGTCAGGCTGTGTGGCTGGCATCTACATCCCCTCTTCCAAGCAGAAGCTCAGTATCTACCAGGCACTGAAGAAAGGGCTGATCAACTCCGAGGTGGCCCGCTCCCTCCTGGAGGCCCAGGCTGCCACCGGTTTCATGATCGACCCCATGAAGAATGAGATGCTGACTGTCGATGAAGCCGTCAGGAAAGGCGTGGTGGGGCCTGAAATCCACGACCGCCTCCTGTCCGCGGAGAGGGCCGTGACCGGTTACAGAGACCCCTACAGTGAACAGAAGATTTCCATCTTCCAGGCCATGAAGAAAGACCTCATTCCCAGCGAAGAGGCCCTCAAGCTCCTGGACGCCCAGATAGCCACCGGTGGCATCATCGACCCGCACCTGGGCTTCCATCTGCCCCTGGAGGTGGCCTACCAGCGGGGCTTCATCAACAAGGAAACGTACGACATGCTGTCCGAGCCCAGTGAGGTGCGGAGCTATGTGGACCCGTCCACGGAGGAGAAGCTCAGCTACACGCAGCTCCTGAAGCGGTGCCGCAAGGACGAGAACACAGGGCTCCTCCTGCTCCCGCTCTGCGACACGAGGAAGCTCACCTTCCGGGGGCTGCGGAAGCAGATCACTGTGGAGGAGCTGGTCCTTTCACAGGTGATGGATGAAGCCACAGCCCAGCGCCTCCAGGAGGGCCTCACCTCCATCGAGGAGGTCTCCAAGAACCTGAAGAAGTTCCTGGAGGGCACCAGCTGCATTGCTGGTGTCTATGTGGACTCCACGAAGGAGCGACTGTCCGTCTACCAGGCCATGAAGAAGGGTATCATCAGGCCAGGCACCGCCTTCGAGCTCCTGGAAGCGCAGGCGGCCACAGGGTACGTGATTGACCCCATCAAGGGCCTCAAGCTGACGGTGGAGGAAGCTGTGCGGATGGGCATCGTGGGCCCCGAGTTCAAGGACAAGCTGCTCTCTGCTGAGAGGGCGGTCACCGGCTACAGGGATCCCTACTCCGGAAAGCTCATCTCCCTCTTCCAGGCCATGAAGAAGGGTCTGATCCTGAAGGACCATGGGATCCGCTTGCTGGAGGCCCAGATTGCGACAGGAGGCATCATCGATCCCGAGGAGAGCCACCGCCTGCCTGTGGAGATTGCCTACAAGAGGGGCCTCTTTGACGAGGAGATGAACGAGATCCTGCTGGACCCCAGCGACGACACCAAGGGCTTCTTTGACCCCAACACGGAGGAGAACCTCACCTACCTGCAGCTCATGGAGCGGTGCATCACTGACCCAGAGACCGGCCTCTGCCTCCTGCCCCTGAAGGAGAAGAAACGGGAGAGGAAGACCTCCTCCAAGTCCTCCGTCCGCAAGCGCAGGGTGGTGATCGTTGACCCAGAGACAGGCAAGGAGATGTCCGTGTACGAAGCCTACCGCAAGGGCCTCATCGACCACCAGACCTACCTGGAGCTGTCGGAGCAGGAGTGCGAGTGGGAGGAGATCACCACCTCCTCCTCCGATGGCGTGGTGAAGTCCATGATCATCGACAGGCGCTCGGGCCGTCAGTATGACATTGACGACGCCATCAGCAAGGGCCTGATCGACCAGTCAGCCCTCGACCAGTACCGCTCGGGCACCCTCTCCATCACCGAGTTTGCGGACATGCTCTCCGGCAACATGGGCGGCTTCCGGTCACGGTCGTCCTCCGTGGGATCCTCCTCCTCCTACACCGTCAGCCCCGCCCCCATGCGAACGCCAATATCCATGTGGAGCGACCCCACCGAGGAGACGGGACCGGTGGCCGGCATCCTGGACACGGACACCCTGGAGAAGGTGTCCATCACGGAGGCCATGCGCCGCAACCTGGTGGACAACATCACAGGGCAGAGGCTGCTGGAAGCCCAGGCCTGCACCGGGGGCATCATCGACCCCAACACCGGGGACAAGTGCTCCGTCGCTGACGCGGTGAACAAGGGCCTGGTGGACAAAATCATGGTGGACCGCATCAACCTGGCACAGAAGGCTTTCTATGGCTTCGAGGACCCGCGGACCAAGACGAAGATGTCGGCGGCGCAGGCCCTGAAGAAGGGCTGGCTCTACTATGAGGCCGGGCAGCGCTTCCTGGAGGTGCAGTACCTGACGGGGGGCCTGATCGAGCCCGACGTCGAGGGGCGCGTCTCCTTGGACGAGGCGCTGCAGAAGGGCACCATCGACGCACGCACGGCCCAGAAGCTGCGGGACGTCAACACCTACTCCAAGTATCTCACCTGCCCCAAAACCAAGCTCAAGATCTCCTACAAGGACGCCATGGACCGAAGCATGATCGAGGACGGGACCGGCTTGCGGCTGCTGGAGGCCTCCTCCCAGTCCAGCAAGGGCTACTACAGCCCCTACAATGTCAGCAGCGCCGGCTCCACCTCCGGCTCCCGCTCGGGCTCCCGGACCGGCTCCCGCTCGGGCTCCAGGAGAGGCAGCTTCGACGCCACCGGCTCCGGCTTCTCCATGACCTTCTCTTCCTCCTCCTACTCTTCCTCCAGCTTCGGGCGCAGATACGCCGTGGGGCCGCCCGCTGCCGTGGAGGCAGCCGCCCTCGCCCTGTCCCTGCCCAGTGGGAGCTGCGGGCGGGAGGCGAGCGAGGAGCACCCCGGGATGCCGGGACCCCCCCTCTGCCTGGCCTGAAACCCGGGGGAGCCCCCCTCCTTGCCCGCTCCGCATGTGGCAACGCTGCTGGCTAATCACTAGTATTGTTTTTTTTTTAACTTTGAAACTCCATTCTTTTTCCAAAGCAGTGCCTAAAGTTTAACCAAAAAAAGAGACTAGACTAATATATTAATATATGCGATCGTTATGACAGTGTTTGTATATTAAGAGATGAGAAAGAGAACACACTCCCCGCCCCGGGAGCCCACGGCCCTTCCTGCCGCACCGGTGCCGCCGGACACCGCGGGGCAGAGCCGGACAACAGTCCTGGCATTTTCATCTAACCACTTAGTGACTCTTTTGTAATTAACCCCGCCGGCTTCAGCCCCCGCACCCCGAAGGAGGAGACCACCCTGTCCCCGCCACGCACCGCGGCCGCTGGGACGGAGGAGGACATCGCCGGCTCCCACCGCTCGGCACTGGACCCTCTGCACCAGCACCGGAGCTGTCGCCGGACCCCTTCCAGCCGCCCTCGGCACGGCGAGGAGGGGTCTCTGCGCCCCGGCTCCCCCCCAGCTGCTCCCCGGCTTGGCCTCCCGGCCCGTCACCGCGCCGCCGAGCCGGTGCCCCCACCGTAAG